CTTAGCTAAAAAAGTTACTGCCTACAAACGAGTTAATTTTCCATGGAAGGGAGAAGAAAGGTAAAGTCATATGCAGTGTTATGCTTTGTTTCATATAACTGAAGTTCAGCAATGTTTTCTATAAAATCCCCTGGCTGCAAGTATGGGTTATATAGTCAGACATGAGACAGAATCATTGCTTCCATATACCCCAAGTCTTCTTTCATTGGTTAAACTTATCTTGGGCAAAAGTTATTTAGTCTGTTAGTTCATTTTATTTCATTGTTTTCACTTGATTTTTTTTTTGGGGGGGGGGGGTTACAGAATCTCCCTATGTAAGATAAGTTGTCCTGGAACTTACTATGTGTCCAGAATAGCCTTGTGTTAATCCTCCTGCCTCTGCCTCCACAGATTTTTGATGTGTTTTTGTTTGTCTACTTTTTCTTGTTAATTTTTAAATAAAATTTACATTTATTGTTTATTTATTGACCTCCCAAATATCCCACTTTTTAATACCAACCCCTTAAATGGAAGTGGGGGGGGGCGGTGATTACTAACATCCAGACCTGAGCATGGAATTGAGAAGAAAGGTGGAGTCATAAGTAGTGCTATAATTTGGGTTTATTTAAAGTACTACTTTATTTTGTGGGCTAGAAGTGCTGGTGTAGCAGAATGCATGCATGCTGCGGCATGCATCTACAAATCAAAGAAAACATGTAGAAGTCTGTTCTTTCTCTCTGCCATTTGAACTCCAGGGATTGAATACAAGTTATCAAGCTTGGTGGCAAGTAGCTTAAAGTCACTGAGCCGTCTCACAGGCCTGTCTATTTGTTTTCTAGATAAGACCTCAAGTAGACCAAGTTGGCCTCAGACTTTCTATTATTATTTTTATTGCTGTTATTGTTATTGTTATTATTACATTTGTTTATCTTTTGTGTGTACATATATGTATATTACATAGGTTTATGGAGGATATCTGGGGAAGTCAATTCTCTTCGACTATGTGGGTTTCTAGGATTGAATTCTGCTAGTCAAGCTAGGTGACAAACATGTATAACCACTGAGAATTCTCCCTGGCTTATAGCCTTACAAACTTTATGTGACCAAGGATGACACTAAATTTTTAAATCCATCTGCCTTCATGTTCTGAGTACTGGGGTTACAGCTATGTGCTACTGTGCCCACATTACATAGTGACCTTGGTCAAAATTAAGGATTCATTTGTGCATGCTAGACAGGTACTCTACCAACTGAACTACATCCCAAGCCCTATTATTGCACTTTCAGGCAGACTTACTATATAGCCTAATTTGGCCTTGGATTCATGATTATTCTGTCTCAGCCTCTCACATGGTGGGGTTATCGGTTTGTACCATTACGCCTGATTGAAGTTTCTGTAAACCTTATTTTCTCACCTGAAAAGGGGAATAATGTTACTAATAGGGAAAGAAATCTTACCATTAAGCACAGCAATGTTTATAAAATTCCTGAAGGACCATGTCATAGAGACACATGTTCATAACGAGTAGTGATTATAGTTATGATTTGCATTTTCTCTCCAGTAAAATTTTACCAGTAGGATTGTGGTGGGAGAGAATTTTCTGTATTCTGTCAATCATGTTTTAAATAAATGCTGATTGGCCAGGCAGGAAGTATAGGTGGGTCAACCAGACAGGAAGTAGAGGCAGGGCGATGAGAACAGGAGTATTCTGGGAAGCAGGAAGCTCTCTCCACAGTCCAACCCAGATCACCGAAGAAGCAAGATGTGAGCTGCCCTGCTGAGAAAGGTACCAAGCCTTGTGGCTAATATAGATAAGAATAATGGGTTAATATAAGCTACAGGAGCTAATAAGTAGGCTGAGCTAATGGGCCAATCAGTTTTATAACTTATGGAGATCTCTGTTGATTTTCTTTGGGGCTTGCCAGCTGTGGGATATCAGGCAGGACAGAAACCCCAACAAGCAGGCCCCTTCATGTTACAGGATTGCACTGACATTTTAAAAGTGAAAAGAAAAGGAAGCAGATAATCATCTGTCAGTTTGCTATTGAAGATTATAAATGATAAAGCAAGGATGCTCATTTCTATTTGATTCACTAATTAAAGTTTGCCTAATTGAAACAGTCTCATGTAGCCAAGACTAACCAAAAACTCAGTATGTTACCAAGGGTGACTTTCAATTTCTAATACTCCCCTATACACCTCTTGAGTGCTGAGATTGTGGTCGTTTCTATCATTCTGGCCTTTGTTGTTGTTGTTGTTTGTTTGTTTGAGATATGGTAATACACTAAAGCCCAAACTAACCTTGACATACAAAGCTAGCCTCAGTCATCGTATGCTTCCTGTCACAGGCCATTGAGTGCTGAGACTAGAGGCATGAGTTTCCACACCAGGCTCTAATTCATATTTCAATCTGTTTCATATCATATAATGATACACTTCTTAGATGAATACCCCTTGAGACTACTAATTTACTCAGTTTCAGTGAAAAACAAAATTAAGAAAATAGATAAATCTGGAAAATATTAAGTGGGGTGATTTAGAGTCTTAAAGACAAAAGTTCCATTTTATTGCATATGCAGATCATACTTATCAATGAATAGACATATGTATGAATGGTTACCATGTGAGTATACCCTATGAGCTACAAAGAAGAGAAAGAGAGGTATTTAGAAAGAGAAGATGAATAGGGCATGTAAAACAAGAAAGCAGGAAAGGGTGTGGAGTGGATATGAGGGGACTAAAGGGAATGGGGGAGATTATGTAGGGTAGAATTTTGTTTGAAAATGCTATAACAAAACCCAATACTTTGTATACTAATTTTTAAAAGAACATTAAAAAAAACATACATTTCTGGAGCCAGTAGCAGTGTCTGTAATCCCAATACTGAGAAAAATGAAAAACGAGGGTCTCTGTATGTACAGGCAAGCCCAAGCTATACAGTGAGCAAGAAGCAATCCTAGGCTACACAGGGAGACCCTGTCTCTAAAGCACAACAGATAAACAAACAAAAAAGAACTAGAAATAGAAAACAGCTCTAGACAGGACACATCATTTGGTGATAGATGGTCTATCTATTGTAGGCTACACTGCTACACCCATTTGCTTACCTGCTTTGTATGGTTGCTTCTGTGTTACTACAACAGACCTGAGTTTTTAAAAGAGATTATATGACCTTTTGCAAGGAATACTTAGTATGCATAGGCTGGGGTGTGGCTCGAGTGCAGAACACTTGGCTAGCATTCCCACCCATCATCCACAAACACAAGCAAAGATCCCCGTCCTTTTCAATAAATATTGCTGACTCTTGACTTAAAAATATTTCTTAGTAATATGATCTTATATGATATACTTTATTGGGGATTCTATAATGTGCTTGAATTTTTATTTTTTAATTAATATTATTTTTAATTAAGGCGGGGTGTATGTGCACCAAGAGTGCTCCTATCTATAGAGGTCATCATATGCCCTCAAGTTGCAGTTGCAGGCAATTGTGGGTCATCCAGTGTGGGTGTTGAGAATCAAACTTGTCTTCTATAAGAACAATGATATGCTCTTACCAACTAAGCCATTTCTCCAGCCCATGTTTTTTTATTTTAATTTTGTATGAGAGTAGGTGATAGCTTAGTCAGTAATGTGTTCATCAAGCAAGCATAGGCATCTGATTTCAGATTCCTATCACCCACATTAAAAGCCTGATGTCCTTCCTCGTATCTTCCCTTCTGTTTTTCTATCTTCTGTGTCCTATCCCTATTCTTCTGCTTCCTAAACAACACTCTCCCCACTCACTGCCAAAGGGATTTTCTAATACTATATGGTCAGCCTTGAAAACATACATGCAAGTAACATTATCCAGACCGAGCAGATTTTATTTATATATTTAGGTATATATGTGGGGCATGATGGTTACATGACTTTAATCCCAACTTTCAAGAGGCAGAGTCAGGACAATCTCTATGAGTTCAAGGGTAGCTTGCTGCACAAAGCCAGCCAGGCTGCACAATGAGACCTGTCTCAAAATACAATCACACACACACACACACACACACACACACACACACACACACAAAGGCATGCATACAACAATAAGGACCATGAATTTGAGAGGCAGCAAGGAGAGGGGAGACATGGGAAAGGTTTGAGGATTAAAATATTTGTCTTAGTTACTATCGCTGTTATGAAAAACCATGGGGAAGAAAGGGTTTATCTCGGTTATGCTTCACATTGCTGTTCGTTACTGAAGGAAATCAGGACGGGAGCTCACACAAGACAGGGACCAGTACACAGGAGCTGGTGCAGAGGGCAAGAAGGGTGCTACTTACTGGCTTACTCTCCATGACTTGTTCAGCCTACTTTGATATAGAACCGAGGACCAATAGCCCAGGAGTATCCACATCCACAATGGACTGGGCCCTCCCCCATCAATCACTAATTAATACCCTACAAGCTTTTCTACAGTCTGGTCTTCTGGAGGCATTTTCTCAACTGAGATTATGACTCCTTCTTGCGTCATGTTGACATAAAATTAGACAGCACATTAGTATAATCTCAAAATACTAAAAAAAATATTTAAAAAACTGGGCACAGAGGCACCCATGAGTAATCTTGGTGCTAGAAAGACAAGTAGATCCTTAGGACTAGCTGACTACCCAGTCTAGTCTAATGAGAGAGCCTCAGTTAACAGTGAAAGATCTTATCTCAAAAAACTATGGGTGGACAAGGACACAGGATGACAGCTGGCCTCATACAGAAGCACTCCCACACGTTCACCCTTCTGTCTACATAAACACAAATGTTTGTGGCACTTTGTTAGGCTTAGTTAAAAGCCTATGGGATCTCGTCCACTACCTGAAGGTCATCTTGCCTGTTCAGTATGTGAATGGGGTGCTCTAGTGGAAAGACAGCTTTCCTGTCTGCTTGCACCCTTCTACCAGGTAATCTGATGACATTGGTAAACAACCCAGCCAGCACATCCTTGATGTTGAAATAACCCAGAGATGTTTCTTTCCTCTTGTGTAAGTATCATGTTCCTTTTAATATGTGTCAAAACTCATACTGAACAATGGGTTCTAGGTTGTAAAAAAGGATTTATTTTTACACCTGTCTTCTTTGCCTTTGTCCACTAGTTGAACAAAAGGTGCTACCAAGAGATGTTGCCCGGTGCCAGCGAAAATTCTTATAGGTAAGCCTTCTATGACATTTGTAATAGAACGTCTCTGATATTTAGACAAATATCCAATTAACTTTATAACTGCAAGTTACATTAAAAATGGTCTATGATTTAAATCTTTGAACTAGTCATATGGTGACTCAAACTGTTCTAAAAATATTAAAGAAAAAAACATGTCATCTTTTGCTACCAGAATTCTGCTTTCAGTTTAATTTAAAATAATCTTGTAATATTTATTTTAACTCTCATTTTTGGTAAACTAAATTGCATCTTTTTTTCCCAATATCTGCCAAACAAAGGTTCACACTGATCAAGAAATGGATTATTTATCTTCAAGGGCCCTTTTGAGTTCTATGAGTTCAGAAACGTCTTGTGATTTCAGATCCACTACTTGTTTTCTGTCATCATGTGGTGGCCTCATTAGTATTGTTTGCTTTGTGCCTAAGCTCCCCTATCCCTCATTCACACTCTCTCTCCCGTTTTCTTTCTCACTTCGCCATTCTCTCTCTCTCTCTCTCTCTCTCTCTCTCTCTCTCTCTCTCTCAGCAATAGCTTAACTGAGATTTAACTTTTATGCCATACAGTTCACTTTTTTTAAATACAATAGGATTGATTTATTCATTTTCCTGTGGATGAACATATGAGTAATTTCCAGCTTGGTGCTCTTATGAGTAATGCTACCATAAACCTTCAAGTTCACTTTTTTTATTTTTCTTTTTTTTAATAGAATTAAAATTTTAAAAAAAAAGAAACCACAGTTCACTTTTTAAGGGTATAACTCAATAATTTTTAGCCAATTCATTGTGCAACAAACTCAATCTATTTTTGGATCTTTTCCTTCAAACCCTCAAGCAGTGGTTCTCAAACTTCCTAATGATGTGACCCTTCAATACGGTTCCTCATGTTGTAGTGACCCTAACGATAAAGTTACTTCATGGCTACTTCATAACTGTAATTTTGCTACTGTTAATGAATCATAATGTAAATATCAGATATACAGGATATCTGATATGCAAGTCCCAAAGTGGTTGCAAACCACAGGTTGAAAACCATTGCCCTAAAATGAACCCCTTCCCCCATGATCTCTAATTTCTTATTTTCCTCCAACTCTTCTTTTCCCTATAAACCACTAACTTCCTTTTTTTGTAAATTGCATGTAACTAGAATCATAACAACACATGATCTTTGTAGCTGGTTTTATTTTGAGTTAGCTTGATGGTGCAAAGTTCATCCACTCATTCAACATTGTCAACATCTTTGTTTTTTAGCATGTTATTTTGCATATTTAGTAGATACAGACTCAAATATTGAAACATTAGAATTGTTGCAGAAATAATAAATAGTGATAGTATTTTTAAATGATTATATATGAATGTTCTCTCTTTTTTCCCTCTTACACACACACACACACACACACACCCACACACACACACACACACAAGCATAATCCCAAGAAAAAGAGACACAGACTCTGAACTTCACCAAAGTGTGGTCTGAACATATTCAAGAATTAAGCAACCATTTCTAACAGATAAGCCATAATTTAAGACCCCAAAGCATCACCATTATGAGTTTTTTTAAATGTGCTTTATGATTTATTCCCAAGATTATTCAAGATATCTTTAGCAGAACTTTTTTTTTTTCCTGAAACCTTCAGTGTTTGAAATTTACATTCTGGTTAAGATTTCAATTAGAATATTTCACTCAAAAGAATATAACCTAGACACACATGATGATCGATAGAGACTAGCACACTCACCTATCTTGACATTCTTACAAGTTACAGCCTTGTTCATACGTCTTCTAAAAGCAAAGTGTTACAATCCTAGCATTTAAGAAGTTGAACCAGGAATATCACCTTGAGTTTCAGGATAACCTAGGCTATAGCGCAAGGACAGATTTCAAAACACAAACAAAAAAAGGACAGCAAGATGTCTCAGCTGCCAAAAACCTTGCAATACTAGCCTAATGATGACCTGAATTCCATGTCTGGAACTCATGTTGACAGGAGAGAGCAAACTCCTAGAAATAGTCAACTAAATTATATATATGCACTGGCATACTCAGTAGCTTTTCTGAGTATGTTTTAGATGGGCTGTATTTGGTGGTCATAGTGTTGGGTTGATGAAGAGAAGGCAATTCTCATTTTTCTGATGCAAGCTGACTTTTCAAGGCAACCCAGAACTTAGACACAGTGAAACATGTAGTGATAACCATGATGATGATGATGATTTTTTAAATAAAACAATACCAGGCATGGTTGCATGTGCCTTTAATTCCAGTATTCAAGAGGAAAAGGCAGGAGGATCTATGTGAGCTCCAGGCCAACCAGGGCCACATAGAGAGACTCTTTTTTTTTAACAAAAGCTATTAAAACCTAAAAATAATGAAAACAAAATGTAGTATGTGTCAAAACAGCATGAGGTACTTAATAGCCCTATATCAAAAGTAGCACAATATCTGTAGACAGAAGCAAGACATTCTGCAATGTAGTGTTCAATGATTGTAAGACAAAAGTCTCAAGTCTTTTATGTTTCTACAGTAAGTGTGTATACAATACAGTCTCCAGAGCACATCTGTAGATTGGTTGCTGGACTCTTGTCCACTTGCACTTGCATCTAACCTATATGAATCCTCCAGGGTACTTTAAATCATTGGATAAAATGGCAGTTGTATTATTTAGAAAATAATAGTGACAAGGGAAAAGGTCTCTATGTGGTTAGTAAAAGATAAAATCCAAAAATATTTGCTGCTCGCAGTTGACTGAATCTGGCTGATAGGAGGCCTGGCACCCACGGTAATTTATCTTTTCAATGGATTGAATAGATGACAGCTCAAGCAATCTGTTTACCCATTGATGGTATCAGGAGTGCTTTACTTTGGGCAAATCCTTAGCTTTTGTTTTGCAAATGGAAACCTAGGATGCCGGAAAGGAAGCCCAATCCAATCCCAGAAACACACCTAACTCCCCACCCCCTTTTTTTCATCATAAGAGGACTTCTGGTGCTTCTTTTTAGCTTTTAATGTTTTAGCCTTTTTCCCAACCTCCTTGAGCTTGCCACACAAACGATCATCCTCTAGGGTTTTCAGCCCTGTTTTCACACATTGTTTTCATAATCCCTACAGCATGCATTTAATATAGTTTGTCTTACATTGTTTTCTCACTATTTCACTTGCATTGATTTTGCCATTGAACTAGTATAGAAGACAAAGTCCTTGTGTTCTACAAATATGCTTTTTTTCATTCTTCTTAGGATAATTCAAGGGTAGTACCTAGCAAGCACTTATAAAAGAATAGTCATAGATTTGCCCACTCATTTATTTAGCTATCTATTTATTTATTCATTTATTCATTAGTTAGTTCATGGAGAGGACAACTTTGCCTAAGCTGGTCTCAAACCTTCATTGCTGCTCCCTCAGCCTCCCAAATTACTGGAATCCCAGGTGTGTATCCCCATGCCCATTGCTTAAATCAATCTTTTAACAGACAACGAAGACAATGGGCACAGGGACACTTGAAATTTTAACACACCCAGTGATGACAATGACTTCCAGGGAAGCTGTAGAATGGAAAGCTAATGTTGGTTTAAAATGCCCAAATCCTACCAAATGTATTTCAGCCAAATTTTGCTTTTTATTCTTAGTTTCAACAAAATTCTTAAGTAGCTACAGATATGTCTCAGTCATTTTTTTGACAAAGTGTCTATGGAACAACCGGCCTGCATTACAAGACCTTCAGACTCAGTGTAACCTCTGCAGCTCGAAAAATATTTCACAAGTGCCAAGTCGAAGAATTAGCATCCGTGATTCACGTATGTTTTTGAGTTAGAAATGTGAACAGCAGTCCCCAGTAAACAATAAGATTGCTTATTGAAATTATCACTCTCCAGTTCAAAAAAATTTAAAGACTTTTCCAGCTCTACCAAGATACTCCACGACTAATATTTTGATTACCTGAGAAATCTTTAAAATCACATTTCATTTTAATAAAAATGATATATCAGAATATGTTAAATAGAAATATAGACTCAAGAGTTAGTCCAAGAATCTAATTCATTATACACAGAATACAATTCTCATATAAGACATAATTGCTAAAAATAATGATGGTTTTCATTTTTTTTTTTCTTTTGAGATAGGGTTTCTCTGTGTAGTCCCGGCTGTCCTGGAACACACCATGTAGACCAGGCTAGCCTCAAACTCAGAAATCAGCCTGTCTCTGCCTCCTGAGTGTTGTGCCACTACGACCCAGAAAAATATTGAGTTCTTGAAAATAAATTGTGAAATAGCTACAATTAACTGATGCAACTGGGACTGGGACTCCATGCGGTTCTAAAGTAGAGTGCTTGTCCAGCTATGCTCAAAGTCTCAAGTTCAATCTCAAAAGCAAACAAACAAAAACACCCTATAACTTAAAACCAATAGAGTAAATTAGTTTGATAAATAATTTAGTATTTAACTGACCAAGATTCTTTTAAGATTTTATTATATGAAGTTTGTGTAATCGAATCACATTGGAATAAAGTATAGAAAGAAAGATACCATTTTCTTAATTTATTATTAGTTTTCAACTTTTTGTATTTATTAATTTATTATTGCCAGATGGGGGTGGCACTTCCCTTTAATCCCAGCACTCTGGAGGCAGAGGCAGGCACAGATCTCTGAGTTTCAGACCAGCCTGCTCTACAGAGCGAGTTTCAGAACAGCCAGGGTTACACAGAGAAAATGTCTCAAAAAAGAAAAAAAATACTGTGTGTGAGCTCAGTTGTACGTGCTGTCATGTCCATGGAAGTCAGTGGACATTTTTCCTTCTACCCTGTTGGTCCCAGGTATCCAACTCAGGTTATTTAGTTTGGTAGCAAACACCTTTCTTTACTTGTTGAGCCATGATCTTTCAAGACCTTTTATTGGTTTACTAATAGTATTTTTATTTTATTTTGTTTTCTTTTTTTCCCCCTCTGTGTAGCCCTATCTGCTTTTAAAC